ACTGCAAACCACCCAACCACAATCTATGTGTAATAGAAACATACTGTTATCTTCCTTAAATATAAACAATAAAAGCAGTGGCTGGAGAGATGATGACTCAGTGGTTTTAACACTTGCTGCTCTTCCAGAGGACTCAAGTGTGGTTCCCAGCATCCATGCATAACAGCTCCCAAACACCTATAACTCCAATTCAATTTGATCTAACCCCTCTAGGTTCCTCAGGGACCTTCATTCCTGTGCATATAGCCACACAAGCACATACATACACTTAACTAAAAATAATAAAATGAACTACTAAAGAAACAACAACAACTAGTCAACACAGACTCAATGGCAACTCATACTAACTCAGTGTCTCTCTGATTTCAGCTGTAGTTTGAGCACTATTCACTATCCCCTGATTTTAGCAGCCTTGTGGTGCTTCATTTGGATAGTATTACATGAAGCAAGTTTTAAAGTGAAATCTTTAAAAGAAATTACAGTTTCTTAGTTGTATAGAACTATTAAGCTCTCTGGATTGAAGGCTCATTTTTCAATAATCTTTTATCCATTCTATGATTTCTCAATTATCCCACCAGGATTGATGGTGGCTATTCCCTCCTTTCAGTAACTTTGTTGCACTGTATGACTTGTTTGTTTCTCTGTAGCTTTGGAGTTTGTCCTGGAACTCACCCTATAGACCAGGCTCGAACTCACAGAGATCTGTCTGCCTCTGCCTCCTGAGTGCTGGGATTAAAAGCATGTGCCACCACACTCAGCTATACTGTATGACTTTAAAACTTACAGAAAAATATTTAAAGAGAGATTAGTTAGCAAATCATGTAATTATCAAACATTCATAAAATGACAAAAATTCTAAAAGCAAGATGATGTGACTGGTGTGCTGGAAAGGAGTGGGACCAACACACAAGCCCTAACATCGCCCCTTTAAGCGAGAGGTGAAGTAGTAGAAAACCTACTGCCAGGGGAAAGTGAAAGGCAAGAGGAAAAATAAATTTGCAAAAGTGAAATTCAGATATATAACAGAAAACATGCAGGAGACCTGAAATAGCAGATGCTGTATATTAAATCCATGTTAATACATTTGAAAATCTCAAAAACTATATGATTTTTTTAAAAAAAATATACTTTATGACAAAACTGACACCTAAAAAAGTATGAAGCTCTGGTGTTTTTCTGAATATATTATTCAAATTTCAAGAAAGAAAAAATATATAATCTATTTGATATTTTACATTATCTAGAAAGGAAAGAAAAGGCCAATTCTACTTTGAACTCTGGAAGTAATATATTATATAATATGTGTATATGTATGTCATATATTCTATTACATATATGCTATATACTACAAATAAAAAAGTCACAAATTAACACAATTTATGAGACATACATCCTGCAGGACATGGTGGGGCATGTCTGTCATATCAGCACAAGGAAGCTAGAGGCAGGGGAGGCAAGGTCATCCTTGGCTATTATAAATTCAAGGCCAGCCTGAGCTACATGAGATGGTATTTAAAAAATAAATTAGGTTATTTTAATACAAAGTTTAAAATACTAAAACCAACACTATAAATTAAAAACTACGCCAAAATCCCTGCTACTGACTGTATTGCTCAGTACTGTTCTTAGCAATCTAGGCAGGGTGATGCAGGGTGATGCAAGGTGATGAGGAGACAGGGAGTCATTCTTGTCAGCTGCAACATGATTAGGCCTAGTGAGCCCCCAAAAGGGAAATTAAGGAGTGAGCCAGTAAAATTAATCTGTAAAACTTAGTATAATCTCTAACTACAGGAACAGAAATATCTCAAATATGGATAAAACAAAAGGAAATGTGCAGAATTAAAGCCAAAACTTTCATGAGGGACATAAGAATTGATTTGGGAGATTGAGAGGTAGCATTATAGTAGTCGTCTGGGTTCTGTTCCCAGTACCTTCATGGTGGTTCACAACTGCCTGTAACTTCAGTTCTAGGGGAATTTAATGCCCTCTTCTAGACACAGTGGGCACTGCATGCACATACTTGCAGGCAACACACACAAATATAAAGAATCTTCAAAAAAGAATTGAATAAATTGTGCTCAATAAAAATATGCAATTTTATAAATACATCTGCTCACCCAATAGTTTTATATAAAAGTAATTTTAAGACATTTTGCAATGTTAATTATCACACTGATATAAAACCACCCAAGAAAAACATTAGTAAAAATTGAAAATATGTTGGATAAAAGTTATGATAAATATGAAATATACTATATCAACAATTATTGAAGTACTGGTAAAAGTTTATATAAATGGTTCCAAATGTATAATTAAGTGTAAGGAGAAATCCTATTCCCAGTCAAGAGGGGTCTGAACATTCAGTCAGAGTGTATAATGTTATTTTATAACTGCTTAAAACAACTATAACTCTAGTTGACATAACACATCAAAATATAGTCAGGAGGGAAGAAAAAGTTAAATGCTTCTACACAGAACTAATTGAAAGAAAATATGGCAAAATCGTATCTAATCTCAAGAGTGGGAGAAGCCGGCACAAACCAACTGCAACAGTCACGCATGCAAAGGGGAAGACAGGCATGTGTGCACCATGGTGTGATGCTATGAAATACACCCCAGAGTTCTCAAGTTCTGACAGCCCTCACACTCTGGACAAGCCCTTTAGGAGGAAATGAGAAACTCGGTGTTGAACAAAAGGCTTGGTTGACTCAGGGAAGCTTCATTTTGTGCCACGTATTTGCCAAAAATGATTTTTAAAGATTGTCTATCCAAATGAAACCTATACTGAGAAGTAGCAGCTCATAGGGGATGTACTAACTGTATACAAAACTTAGGGAATAGACAGATGAAAGCTGAAACAGAAATCTTGTGCCACAGGATTTAGGCAGAATTCAAGAATGCTTTTGTTTTATTGTGTGCTTTTTTCTGTTTTTTACAAATAAATATGTACAAACCGCAGCTGGCCAAGTCACACACAGAACCAAGGAAAGAAGTGTGTTTTCCCAGCAACAGTTAAAGTATTCAAATTACCGCTTTAGCTACAATTTTTAATGTCTAAGTTAATATATGATGTAGGTAATATTTGTGGTGCAAAATGCTAAAATTTATAAAAAGAAAAATTGTAGAACACATTAAATGGAAAATTCAGTAATAATATTAACATTTATGTCTATAAAATTCAAAATAGCTCACCATTGGAAGCTCAAACAACTACAGGACCTCCAGAGAAACAAAATGGAAAGGCGTGGGTCTGCGTGGTTCACTTTTGAGAATTAAAAATTTTGAGCACCCGAAACTTTTGTTATTTTTTGGCTTTTTAAACTCATAATTAGAATTAAATATAAATAAGAGTGAAAGGTATGGGGAAACACTCCCTGAAGTGTATAAAAGCCAGAGTTTTTCATCACAGAGATAATAAAGTGTTAGCTTCCATGCTGCTAGGAGAAAGCAAGACCCCCATCACTCATGTTGGCAAACGCTTGCCTTTGCATAAGCCATTTCTGTCCTCACTGTTATAAAACCAATGACTCTGGGAAGAGGAGAAAACACAAAATGACGTGTGAAGTCACACAGCCCGTGTTATTGCAGCTGGATGGAGAATATGTCACTAATGCCTTTTCTTTCTACCCATCAGTTATGTTGAGATTCCTTTTTTTTTCCAAATTAGCAAATGGCCTTTATGAGTACAAAACAGAAGCAGTAAAATTCAAAATAATATTCCGTTTTCACTTGATTCCGACACTCTGTTAGTTAATGGAATGAGTTGTTAATTATTCATTGTGGAAGGACAACTGTTATCTTTATTGGAGTTCAAAGGGACAGAGATCTACCAGATTTCTGTGATAAATTAAAAATAACGTTTTCGTGAGATATCTACTACCAAATGCTTGTCTTAACAGAGCTAAACAACCCAAATTTGTTTGCTAAATCCAGAGAACTAGTGTGACTGAGTCTCTGAAGTGTTCCTGTAAACTGAGTGTAGAAATCTGTGAGATGACTGACAGCATTAATAGGTGGCCTGGCTTCCTCTCACGACATGGAAGTGTAAGAATGTGACACTTTTTCCTGAGTCCACAGAAGAGCTGGGTTAGGCCAGAAGCACAGACTTCTTCACGCACAGGTGATGCAATGCTGAAATACACGGTACTCCTTCATCTCCTAATATTTCAAAAGGATTACATACAGGCAGAAGTGAAGCTATAGGACTTCCTAGCACCTTGCCTCATGCCTGCCTAGTTCAGTTCCCAGAACCACAACAATAAATAAATTAAAAGACAAAGATATTCTTGGAGTCAAAGTGCAGGAAGTGCTCAATTCCAGCACTCTCTTTGCTGTGACTCAATCCTCAATCTATGGGCACATCAACAGTGACCATCACTGTACTGTGCTCCCAGTGCTCTGCTGAGTGCCAGGCACTACAGTGGTGAGACCTTCACTTGTGCCGACTCTTCCAAGGAGCATATAGGTAAGTGCTCTTATCACCTCCGCAGAGACATGGAGGACAAAACGTAGAAAACGCCAGTGCTTTGGCCAAAATTCAGGCATAATGAGAGGCTGGATGGGAACCAAGATAAACAGGTCTTAGAAGTCAGTCATAAAATGCAATGTAGGGTATATTCCATCTGCTTTTGTTGGATTGTATACATAGCCTCTTTCCAGCAAGAGAAATTCCACAAATAACTATAATCTGTAAATTTAGCTACTATTATGAGTCTAAGAGAAAAGCCAGGTATCTCTAAGCCACACTGCATTCTCTGACGAGACTTTCCCTCTATCATGTCTGTCAAGTAAATTCACAAGGCAGTCTGTACACTGATGTCAGGGAGGGCAAAGGTCCATAGTGTACACCTAAGAGCAAAGACATCCAGGAGGGTGTCACCCCTACTCTTCCATGGATAACCTAGTTTAGAAGTCAGAGTTTAGGGTCATGGCACAAAGGCCGGCAGCTGTATGGGGTACGTGAAGTAATATCTGCACATTTGATACTTCTTATATTTTACCTTTGATTTCTCCAAGAAGGTCACTCGTATTTAGTCTTTCCATTTTTTCCTTCCAATCTTTTGAAAGTAGTTTTTCCATGCAGGAGGAATCTATTAAAATACAAAGGTAAGTATTAAAGATGTATACTACAGACCCAGAGAGCGAGACAATGGAGCAACTGGCTCGGTGGGAAACAAACAAAAGCTGTTTCTGTTGCTGTATTTTAATTCTACCATTACTCTAATCATAAAACACCATGACTGAGGTAAACTATTACCCCAGGGTGACAGTGCTTGTAACCTATGCTTATCTGCATCAATCTAAAGATATTTAATCAATGTTTATCATTTATCAGACTGATAAGACAGTACAAAGGCTTTCCCCTACAGGTTTAAATTTATATGATATTTCTTTTAGCTCAGGTTATATTTTAAAAGTGTAAGCAAAATTTATATGCTGTACAAGGGACAATGGTAAATCATTAAGGAAGAAGAGGCCAATTAACCTGTAACCACGTAGTCCTTAAAAAAGAAATCCAACTTCTGCAAAACTAAAAAATAGACAAGTAAATAAAATCAAGATGCTTTTTGTCCCCTCATAGTGAAAACTACTAAAACTTTTATATAGAAATGACACACGTGTTCATTAAAGAAAACACCTGTTTAAATAGCATCTGCTCTAGGGTGTGTTAGAATACTGTTCTAGACTACAGGGAGCAATTACATCTGTTTTCATAAAGACTCATAAGATTACAGAAATATAAACATTAGAATGCCCTAATAATGATCTCTTTTTCCTACATGCACTGTTTTCTTCTCTGGATTCAGATGGATTTACAAGCAGGCCTCCTGCTTACAACTGCCTACATGTACTTTTCCAGATCCGACTCTTAGCAAAATAGGCCATGTTTCCAGAGAATGCAGGCAGGTTTGAAAACTCCCATTAAACTTTAGCATTCCAAGTGTCAAGATTCTGATAATTTTCTTTTTAAATTATATTTAAAATGATTTCTCCAGTTCCAAATACTTTTTCTCCCCCATATCAGCACCTATCTCTTGAGTATTTTCTCTTTTGTTTTTTTCCCCCTCTAGCTTCCAAATCAGCCTTGAATTTTTCAGATTGACAGTTAGGTCATGATGGCTCTAAAGGGCTTTAGAGGCTAGATAAGCTTTGGGAAAAGCAGGGATCCTTACTTAAGAGATGAGAAGACCACATGATTAGAAAGTCTTGCTGAAAACAATTAACATTTGTTCGTGACAAGAGCAATCAATTAGAAATAGGATGGAATCCAGATCCTAGTGTCATTAAAGGACTGATATTGTCACAGAACCCCACGTCCTTTCTACATAGACATTCCATTAAGTAAATGCCATCCGCCTCTTCCCTGACTTCTCTCCATTTCACAGTCATAAATGAGGTATGTAGTCTGTTCGATACCTATATTTTTTCCAGTATTAAAACTGAGTTTATAGGATTAACAAGGCTTCAAATCTTCAAAGGAATGCCTGCCAGACATTTTGGTTTCTCCAATCAGTTTGGGATTTCGAAGCAAGACGATGATAACATTAAATAACAGATGAGAAAGATCAGTAAAAGGTCTTAAATTTTATACTCTACTAGGCTTGCTATATTTTTACCCATTCTTGTATGTTCTACCATTGCACTGTACTGATAACCATCAGCACAGATGCAGGAGTCCAAAACGTTTGGTTAAGTTAACCCAATACATCAAGGATGGCTACAAAGTCAAGTCAAGTGGACATATGCACACTAAATGTAAAGCTTGTCTCTACTTTCTATAAATAGATTTGAAATACCCCAGAGGCCAAGGAAAGAATGCTGATGCTCCATGAGAGACAAACATAGCTCTATGGACAACAAGGATATATGCTGCAGCATAAACTCAATCAGCTTCACACAAGCTACTCATTCCCAGGCTGGAGCATTTGACATTCTACTAAAACATCCTTTCTTGTTAATGCTGAAATCCAGCTACACCAGATCCTGCTTCAGTAGAAAAGGGTGAAGGAAAAGAGATAACAGACAAAGGGAACACTATATAAATGAGTCCTACATACACAAAAAGAACATACAATAGTCACAGTGATTCTAATGGGATTAAAAAAAAAAGCAAATGTCCCCAGAATAGTTTACAGTTCTGTCACAGAACAAATATGTTTTATTTTATTAATTGGAAAATAACTTTCCACTCAAAGAAACTCAAATAAATTTTAATATCTAAGTTTATGGTTCAAACTTCTGTGACTAAACTATCTGAACTACAGAACCAAATGAGTCTCAAGATGAGGAGAAAGGATCACAATACTACAGTACACATTGTAGTATCCCTACAATATAGACACATTAAAGATTACAGTGCCCCAAATTTGTGTAGCATGCCATCTGAGGCCAGAGTTCACCCCTCCTACCATGAGAGAGTTTAATAACATCAACCAACACCTACTCAGTAAAACACAGGGCTTCGGGTTATTTTGCCTATTGTTTTCCAGATAGTGGGAATTTGATTCTAACTAGTCTCTATCTGAAGCAAAGGCATAAAGATTCCACACCTCTAGACTAGTACTCGGGGATATAGTTTTGGGTAGGCTGTGGTTTGAGGGGTGAGGATGGGGTTTTTGCTTGTTTATTGTTTGAAATTTAACAATTTATCTTTCAGAAAACTTACTTTAAATTTTTTCTATCAAAAGAAAGATATGTTTCAAGAATGATTGTATTTACAATGTGCCATACACAGATTGCCAAACATGGTTCTGCTTCTTAGAAACTGAGACTTTAGGCTAAGTAAGGAATGTGATTTGCCATGGTGTGCTAATGCATTGGCTCATAACAAATGGAATAAGAAATAAATGCTCAAAGTGGGATTATCTCCTAATCTGTAGACTGATATTTTGGAATCATTTTCAGTTACTATACATATGGAGTGTGTGTGTGTGTGTGTGTGTGTGTGTGTGTGTGTGTGTGTGTATGACTTCAGGAGTTCTAACAATGATAAAGGTTTATCTTCTGTGTCAAGACGTATAAATAAATCATAATTAAAGCAAAGGAAAAAGATAGAATAATGGGAATGCTTTGGAATATTTTGAAACAGTTTATCTGTGAGTAAACATTTATTATTCCTTTCACTTCTGTGTCATATTGGAAGTCAGAGGGCAAAAATATCACAAACATGACACAAAAATCTTTCGAATATTTGGTGAAGAATCAAATGCTTCAGTCCCTATGTACACATTTCTTCTTGCTCTAGTGATGCTTAAGACAATAGTAAAGGCATCCCTTTATTTTACCATGGAATCAGAAGTTTCAGATGCAATCACTTGCTCTGCATTCACAACCACTGATAATTGATCTGAAGAGCTCATGACTTTAGTTTCCAGCCAAAATGCTTGCATTTTCGTTGGGGACATACAGATGCTGTTATCAGTTACTGTACTTTTTTTTCACAGTGGCAAGAGCGCCACAATACAGTGGGATAAAATTGGAGCTTGGAGAGCTTGAAGAGCACTCTTAAATTTTAATTAAAACCCTCTAAGCTCACTAAAAATAATTAGACACTAAAATGTGCCAGTTTTATTTTGAAATCACTATAACATACAAAGCAATGCTCTATGATGACTGTCCCTACACACACACACACACACACACACACAATGAAACAACTGACTTTCCAAATAAGAACAAGGGGTATAAATAGAGTATGTTTTCAAGCAAGCTCTTCATGCCGGGAGCTGGCAGAAAAGCCCACAGAGTGTGTTTTTCAGACTGAACCAAACAAACCTAGAAATAACTTCCCTAGCCCAGTGTGCAGATCTCCAACCAACTCCACAGAAAATCCAGTGTGGAAAGAACAGTGCGCACTGTATCACTGAGCTTTTCTGATCCAAGAGCCAAACCTTTAACCTCTTAAATGTTTCTGCTATCTTAAAATATCTCATACAATGCTATACCCCATCCTATTTTTAGGCAAGTAGCGAGAGAAAGCATGCCTTTCCCATACAGCAGGGCAGCGGTCTAAACATCAACACAGATGCTCTGCCAGGAAGAACTGGGCTTCTCAAGCACTTGATCATTAAGGAATGCACCAACTGTTTCAGATAATCTCGTGCCAGCCCCCTTGTGCTCCACACTCCCCCGTGGGAGTGGCCAATCTTGTCCTGCTCCTAATTCTTCATTTTCCTCCTCCACAGCATACCCTCTATCCAAAAAGATGAGAAGTAAGGCATTTATGCCTAGCAATGAGAAAGCAGGCTCACTTCCCCAAACAGACCAAAACTTTAAAACAATTAACCCTCCCCTCTTCTTTCAGATAAATTGCTAAGTATAAAATGCAATCTGTTCCCTTTGTTTACTCAATAAGAACAATTTGTAAATGACTCAAGGATAAAATTCAGAAAATGTTGTGCTAAATTAGAACCATTATAAACATGCTAATGACTCAATGCTCAAGTAAAACATGCATGATCGGTGTGAAGGGAGAGATTTCATTCCTGTAAAATTCTGTTGTGCTGCCTTAAAATGATTTGGTCATTAAATCAGATATAGTCCTTCCAGGAAATATGCTAATTCCACAGACACTCTACTGAACAATGTGCTGTGAGTGTGGGGTGTGTTTGCGGGCGGGGGCGCGTAGGGGAAACAACTGAGGTGTTGGAAATGCTGCTAGGATGTTCAGAAGGAAACAGGCCCCACATCTAAAACCTGCCAGACTCACATGCAGGCATTTTCATGTCAGGGGCAATCTTTTCTCCAGTTACTATTTTTATCCACCGGACCTTTCTTTAGGCTACCCTGACAACTGGCACTAAGCATACATTCAATAAAGTCACACTGTTCTATATGAGCAGGCAGAAGGCATCTCTCTCATCTGCTCACCAAGACAGCTAGAACCTAAAATATGAACACAAGAATCATTAGCAACCCAGTTCCTCTCATCTGTTCATCAAAGCATAACCACTCCGGTGCCAACACACTCATGGTAAATCCTAGCTTACAGTCTGGCACTGGAGATAGAGCGCTCATTTTGGAAATGAGGAAAAATGGAGTAAAGATGAGGAAGCCGCTGGCATTGTTGACTTGAGATGGTGACAGCTCG